TATAATAGTTAAACAGAGGCTAACAGGCTTAGGGCTCTGATTAGAAGGATGCACACAATAGGATTTAGGGGCAGGTAAAGTTAAGTGGGTAGTGCGCGTGGGGTCATTGGAGGTGTTAGGTAGGGTTTGTGCTGTAATTACATAATTGATCACGTGAATTTCATCGTGGTATATATAAGGGTGTGTTTGTACAGGTATGTGCATATACATGTTCATACAAGAGCCCTGTAGATGTTTTCATGTACATATTTTCATATACATAACTGGGAAATACAGATTACCCTTTAAGAGTGGGGATGCAGAGCTTTATTAATTGCGCCTGTGAAAGGAAGCAAGAGTGCATTGGATTTTTTGCTGAGAGTCCCGGGATTGACGGTCTTCTTTTCTCTGTGCATAACCACAAAGTAACTTGCAGACAAGTTTCAGTGACTTAATAGCTGCTGAGAAGACAGCATGTCTAAGCTTGCAAGAGAATGAACTTCGCTGGAGAGAACACAGCCAGATTTGTAGCTGCAGCAAGCCACTTTGGAGACTTGTCCCAGCTTGATTGGAAATTGCTTCCCCTGTTAGTTGGGAGGAGTTTTTCCTTTGCTGTTAGGTTTTTTTTTTCACCCATCTCATGCTGCTTACTCATCAGCTGAACCCTGATGGGATTTTATAAAGGGAAGAAGTCCCAAGCAAGAAATTTCTTCATAGTGTTTGAAACGTAAAAGGATAAGGAGGAGATTCTGTTACTAATATGATGAGAGAAACTTATTGCGCTCTTAGTGTCAAGGTTCGTTTTAAGGTTGTTTTTAAAATTCAATCAGGTTTTGTGATCAGATCAGAAACCAATGTTACGTAGAAGAGAAAAATAATTTCCCCCCAGGTTTATCTTTCGGCGTTTTTTAATCTGCTTATATATCAAAGCACTGCCACAAGTTTGCTCTAGACAGGAAGTTTATATTTAAATTTACAATATATTTATATTGTATTTTGGAAATGAAAAACTTATCTCAAATGTAATTTAGCATAAATTGATGCTAAGTATGAATTTGAAGCAAAAAAAAGTCACCTACATATTTTATCACCAATCGAATTTTTATTACAAATTACATACTTGAGCAGCTTAATTCATCCAGCTGAAGTGATTTCAGATGACCTTTTCTTCAGCAGACTCTGTCTGAACAGAATATTGTTCGGCTGTTAATTGTTTTGGACATAGTGTGTGAAAAATCTTAAGGGAGTTAAATTTTGTTGTTCAGGGTTCACAGTACATAATTTTGCTTGCATGTTTACTGCTGGCCTGTCAAAGTATATGAAGGAATAAATTTCTCCCACAGATCAACTAATCATGAAAATAGTGTTGAGGTGTTTGATTGACATAGTGAAGCTGTTAATTTAGAGTATATCAAGATCAAATGGAAGTTATTGCAATTAGGAAGCGATTGTGTTCTCAGTTGAAATTTTAAAATGCTGCGTTTTAGATCTTCATGCATTTTTATGCTGTCTCATGGATGTATTGGGGAATTTCTATGTTTTGTTCTATTTAGATAACGTTCAACAGGGTTTCAACACAATTTTTTCTTTTTTATAATAGCCGATATTTAATTGACCAGGGAGTGCCACTGAACATGTAATGTTTCTGTACTCTAAAGGGCTTTGGGAAACAAAGGATTCAGCCAGTCTGAGGTTTTGATGGTTGGTTGGTTGGTTTGTTTTTGGTTTTACAACTTTAGTTCAAAATACTATGGTATCAGGCTAGAATCTTGCTTATTTCTTTGAGAATGGCTCTTTTATGACATGCTTAGATGCTCCTGATCACTATAAAGTTCTGTTCCAAGGTTTGTATGTATGAAGTAAGTTGTATTCAGTATATCATATATAATAAGACCTTTGTACCATGGTGTGATAAATATTAAGAGTCAGTTCTTACATATCCTTAGTCCTTGAATCTTAATGTCTGAGGTATTCTTGAAAGCCACATTTTTCTCCTAAGTATTCTTAGAAAAAATTGTGGGATATCAAAAATAAATGTTTGTTCTGTCTATTGCCTTCTTTTTTAAAAACCTACATTCAAGCATATGGTACTGACAGGTGACACAGATTCTGGGGGTCAAAAGGCTTCTCATGTCCCTAAAATTGTGGACACAGGTGTGGTGATGAAACATGCCGGCTTAGTTGGAAAAAAGCTGTGGATGCCTGATGAAGTCCCTAAAGCAATTTAGCCTTAGCCCAGTAATGGCAGGTTTTTTTCCTTTGGATGAGTTGAGCAATTTTGTCATGACTTCAGAACTTCTGTTCCAGTGCTGAGGCTGCTGTTTCTCATGTTGTCATGAGCATGATATGCTCACTCATGTGCAGCTGCTAAGGAGTAGTTTGCTCCTGGTTTAGGCCTTGAGTTTCATCTGCACACTCAGGTGTCTGTAGCCTGATGTTAGCTTATTCCCTTTTTCAAGACTGTAGAAAACAAGCAAGCAGAAGCCTCACATGAATCATAGTGCTGAGCTGATAGTGCAACTCTTTGGTCTTGCTGAAGAGAAGTAGCGTAGCGGCCATTAGCCAAGTCCTTGGGGATGCTTACTGAGACACTCTCTCCAGTTGACCCTTTGGCACATAGAAGTGCACCCAACGGGGACAGGCTGTGCAGGGAGGCAGTTTAGTTTTCTGCCCTGGAAGGGAGATCACTGCGGCCGAAGTTCTGACAGAGTTTTTAGAAGATTAGAAAATGGAGGGGGGAGGCGTGAAATTGATTTTAAAGTTATGGTAACAATAGTAAAGAAAAATCCAGTAAACTTATGTGCTTCCTTGGATTACTTATACGTCCTACCTTGGCTTTACCTCCCTTTTGCCTTGCAAGCTTTTATTCCTACTACTATTTATTAAGGAAAATGAAAGTGATCAGTGTTAAAGAAACTAAAAGGTAACATGCCTCTACGTCAGTTTTATTCTGCGGCCACCTGACAAAAGATAGATTCCAATGTATGCCGTAACTAGTGCTTCTGTGACATAAAGCAGGGTTATAATTTTCCTAAAATTTGGGAAATACGTTTTAGAACCAGTGTTTTTTCCACAGACACAGTGCACCTTTCCATTCCTGACAGCTAGCACAGATCATGCTGTTTTGCATGGCCAAGAAATGTATTTCAATGAGGGGATTCATAAGCAAGCCAGACTAGCCGTGGCACTTGGACAGGGGTGTTACGTTTTGGGTTTTTTTTTCTTAATTGATTAAGCGTTATGCTTTGTTATAAACAAAAGATGGTTAGAGATGAGCAAATAGTGTCTAGTACAAGGGAAGGGGCTGGTGAACACATGAAGGTTCATGCTTTTAACCAAGCAGGAAAAGATAGAGCTGCTGTTTTTCTTCCCTTGCCTTTGCTGGTTCTCCCAGCAGTCTGACTGCCTTCCCATGTCAAATTTGCACGTTGCATTTCTAGGTCAGTGGTGACACAATGAGCATGCTTGTGCCCAAATTGATCATCTCAGTCCGCTCTACTCCACGTGGCTTTCACATTCACCTTTGCCATAGTCTTGTGTTTGGATTTCAGAAGAGCCTGTCAGCTTTGCGTTTCTTCAGGTCTTAAGAAACAGAGATGGCTCAGCAGGTGCACGTTGACTTCTTATGTATCTTGTCCTGCCCCAAGTGTCTGGGAGTAGGAACAAAACAGGAGCGAGTTTTACAAATGGGTGACAGTGACGTGGGAAAAGTTGGTATAAAATCAGTGTCAATAAAGGAGGTGATGTAATGGCCAGATTAATTCTTCCAGAGAAGAACTGCCAGCTGTTGGACCTTAGTGTGCACCTTCTGGTGGATGTTCTCTTACTCTTTCTTCTTCGTGTGGGTGAGAAAAAAAACAGCACAGTTGGGTTCATGATCTTCTTTCTGGAGGCCAGACACTGGGCCCACTGCAGAGAATTACCTTTAAGGGCATGACTTTTTTCTTTAATCGATAAAGTTATAATAAGTAACAGTGTTTATAACCACTTTGTTATAACTGAAAGGTGGTCAGAGACAAGTGGACAGTGTCTACTGCAAGGACAGGGCTGGTGAACAGGCCTGTCCCTCCCATCCTCCTTTCAGCAGCAGCATCTTGTGTGTCAGCACTGCTCCTCAGGGCCTGACCATTTTCTTTCCTGGGTGCTGTGCCCATCCCTGTTGCTCCGATGCTCCATGGGGACACTGCAGGACCCCTGCTCCCAGCCTGCTGCCACCCTGAGCTTTGCAGGAGGTGAAGCAAGAGGCCGATCACCTGCGCTTGCACAGCTTTTGGGTGCATGGAAGAGTGTTGCTGAGCAGCTCCTTCCTGCGAAATTTGTCAGGCCTGGGACTGCAATTCCAGGTGTTCAAAACCTGGGGTTGTCCCAGCTAGGCTGAGACTGGGTGTGGAGGGCAGCGAGGAAATAAAGATGGGGGTAAGAGGACAGAGGTGAAGGGCAGAGCAAGGAAGGACAGGAATCCGCTCAGAGCTGGATTTGATGCTAAGCCTGGCAACAGCAGAGAGATGTGCTGTTGCAAATCTCAGCGCTGTAATTTTCTGTTTTTCCTAACACAGCTAGTTTTAAACAAAATGAGGTGAATGAGCAATTTTTGAATTTAATTTTCTTGCACTTAGGTTCTCCCCATGACTACAAAGCTGCCATAGATGATGATGCTATTTTAAAAATTCTGTAGGTTTGCAAGTAAGAAAGTATTTCTGATACAGCTCTCTTTTGGCTAATGAAATAGCGGTTTATGTGTGAGTTGGTGTTAATGGCACATTCAGTAATGACACGATTCAATTATTTTACTAGACAGAGAAGCACTTAGATGCAAACGTAAGTTATTTCTGAATCTAGGCGTCAGCTAGAGGTGATTGAAAATACACTATTTGTGCCTGTTTCTTCAAATAATTACTGTGGAAAATATTGTGGCATTGTAGTTAAAAGCAGGGGAGTTTTTTAATGCTAACAGCTGTAGAGGGAAGAGAATTCCCAAAGAGAAATGCTCTTCTGTAATCCCATGCTAATCTTCCCGACAGAAAGCAGAAGAAGAGGAGCTTGTCCTCACACCTGATGGCACCAGGGAATTCCTGACATTTGAAGTTCCGCTGAATGACTCTGGATCAGCTGGACTTGGTGTGAGCGTCAAAGGTAACCGGTCAAAAGAAAACCATGCCGATTTAGGAATCTTCGTCAAGTCCATTATTAACGGTGGAGCAGCATCCAAGGTAAGAGGGAACATCTGTGTACTTTGGTCTTCCCTGGTTTTCCGTAATAAGGCTGTTTTGAAAATAACCACAGATTCAAGAAGAATGAGGTTCTCTGTAACTAGCTCTTTCCAATTACACCATCAGAGGTAACGTTTAGATTTCTACTCAGATTCACACAGTTGTGGATCTCAGGATTTAAACAGCCCTTACAGATTCTCAGGAAGGATACGAGCAGTCTCTGGTACAGTTCAATTAGTGTGCTGTTTGTGCAAACAGGTTATGATAATAGTTTTCAGTGCAAATCTGTACTTGGAATAGGCATTTCCTACGGTCCCTGCAACAGAAGCTGTTATACCAGTGTTCATTTGGCCATAAACTGTTAGGGCTAAGCATAGTTGTTTGATTATTTTTCTTCTGTTTTTTTTCCTCTCTCCAGCAAACTGAACTTCTTTTGTGTGTGTTTTATGTAACTAGCTGTAATCTTTCCTTTTCCAGGATGGCAGGCTTCGAGTAAACGATCAACTAATAGCAGTAAATGGAGAATCGCTATTGGGCAAAACAAACCAAGACGCTATGGAAACCTTAAGGAGGTCCATGTCCACTGAGGGAAACAAACGGGGAATGATTCAGCTTATTGTGGCACGGCGAATAAGTAAATGCAATGAGGTAATACACTTTTGATGTTGGGACTGGGAGTTTTCACTTCTAAAGTATTTGTGTTTATAGGAGATGTCGTGTTTCCTCTGAGACCTGGAAAATAATATTTAAGAAGCTAAAGAAAGAGAGAATTACAAAATGATCAGAATTCCAGTATTAGACATGCTAACTTTATTACTGATCAATAAGGTTTCTCTTGAGTATTTTCATCAATGACTAACAGGAAACACTGAATAAAACTATATTGATTTTGTAATTGGATCCCAGTGTTTACGTGATTTTTGTTCTTTGGTGGCTTTTATGTAGGTCTATTGAGTCTTTCATTTATAGACTTAGTGTCAACTGACTTGCTGCTTTGTCGCTTTCGGTGTTTTTAATTAAGATTACATTTCATTATTATATTTTATTTAAGCAATTTAAAGTTCCATGTAAAGATTCTGCAGGACTTGATGCAAATAATTATGTTATTTTGTATTTTAAATATGTTGTGTGTTGGCCTTCATTGCAGGGAAATGTGAAATACTGAATTCAGGGTGAAGTGGTGATTCCTTTTCTGATATTATTTGCACTTTGACTCCTCCAGTGCAGTGTTAATGTGTTGATGTTTTGAAACATATTCATGATTTCTAATAGTTTATCTTCTAGATTAATGTAAATAACGTTATGTAGTAGGAATATGTGGATATATGATACTGAGAACTGCAGATGCTGTGGAGTACTGAATTAGACTTCAAAATGGTTTTGACAAATTGGAGAAATGCACTGAGTTAAATAGGGTGCAGTTGAATGGCGGGTCGGGGAAGCATCTGTTCTTAAGACATCTAAAAGTCATTCTTTCATTCTTATTAACACTGGTAAGGTCTTACTGGGAAAGTTATTTCTTGAGCATCAAGCTTCAAAAATGATGTGCACAAATCGGTTTATGTGGTGGTTTGGCCCTGACCGGATGCCAGGTGCCCACCAAAGCCACTCTATCACTCTCACCCCCTCAGCTGGACAGGGGAGAGAGAATATAACAACGGGCACGTGGGTCAGATAAAGACAGTTTAATGAAGCAAAAGCCGCGTGCGGAAGCAAAAGCTAAACAAAAGATCTTATTCTCTACTTCCCATCAGCCAGCAATGTCCAGCCACTTCCTGGGAAGCAGGGCTCCGGTACGCGTAGCGGTTGCTCTGGATGACAAACGCGAAATGAATGTCCCTCCTTCTTCCTGTTTTCCCCAGCTTATATTGCTGAGCAGACGTCATGTGGTATGGAATATCCCTTTGGTCAGTCTGGGTCAGCTATCCTGGCTATATCCCCTCCCAAGTTTTTACCCACCCCCAGCCTACTGGGGAAATGTTGGGGAAGCAGCCTTGGTGCTGTGTGAGCCCGGCTCAGCAGTAGCCAAAACACTGGTGTGTTATCTAGCTACCACTGCACCGCACGGTGAAGGCTGCATCTCAGGCAGACCCATTACAGTTTAGTACTGCTGATCCTGCCGGGGGGGAGGAATGGTTTATTTTTTAATGTGTAAAACTGATCTTAAAAAAATTCCAGTCCATAGTGTATTATAAAATTGTGTTTGAAAAAGACACTAGCCTCTCTAAAAGTATTAAGCTCCTCTTGATTAACTGTTTATATGCAGCTTTAATACATACACACACGTGTTTATATGTACGTACTGCTGGAAAACCAGCTTGGATGCACACAGTTTCTCACTTAATGTTGAAGAAACTCTGACCTTTTTGTATTTGATGATGTCCTGTTCTAGACTTAGTTCTGAACTGGGACTCCAGACTGTCCTTTGGAGACTGTTCTTTATTCCTGCCCAAATGCAGATGCATTTTATATGTTACTACATAAAAAGGGTGAAATATTTTAGATTATTTCTATGTTTAGTGTTATTTTTTTTAAAAGGATGTAGAAGATGTTCACTCTTCTCTTAGTGAAAGTCTTCTGGATCAAATGTATCAAGACAGTGTTTGTGTACTTGATGGAGCAAATCCAGCAATAATGAACCAAAGACACATTGCTCCTTAAATCAGATAGAATTTTTGCTTTTTCAAGTTGAGTAGTTTACTGCCTTACATCTGCTTGACATTTAGTGTGATTTATTTTGCAGAAATGACATGGCAAAAATGACACAGCTCAGTCTATGTGTCTGTGTTCCAAGATGAAAGAACTGACATTAGAACCAGATTTTGATACACGGAAATGTATCTGTACAGGGAGCAGGATGGGGAGCTGTGTCTGTCTGGGCCTACTTTATAGTCTTTTATGCATTCTCCCAGCTCAGTAATAAGCTAGTGAGAAGAGCCATATTTGGTAAAGTGATGATATGCAATTGCTCATGTAGTGATCATCTTTACAGAAAATTTTTGTAACTATTTTTTCTCAGAAATTATTGCTTTCATAATATTCGTGCAAAGGAAATATGATGTCAATACTGTTGGCATATTTTAATATGATGAAAGCACAACTTGCATGGACATAAGATTGGAAAAGACCTTAAGATCATCGAGTCCAACCGTTTACCCAGCACTGCCAAGCCCACCACTAAACCACGTCCCTAAGCCCCACGTCTACACGTCTTTTAAATACCTCCAGGGATGGTGACTCCAGCACTTCCCTGGGCATCCTGTTCCAGTGCTTGAGAACTCTTTAGTGAAGAAATTTTTTCTAATGTCCAATCTAAACCTCCCCTGGCTCAATTTGAGGCCGTTTCCTCTTGTCCTAGCACTAGTCACTTGGGAGAAGAGACCGACCTCCACCTCACTACAGTCTCCTTTCAGGTGGTTGTAGAGAGAGGTAAGGGCTCCCCTCAGCCTCCTTTTCTCCAGGCTAAACAACCCCAGTTCATAAGAAATGGGGTTTATTGTTTTTCCTTAAAGACAAAAAGAAATATTTACCTTTTGAGAAAGTATTTCTCTGGTGTTCTTTTTACTTTTCTTTCTCTTTTGGTTCTCCGAAGAAGTCACCATAAAATAACAACAGCAACAGAAAAAGATTCTTTCCTGCGTTGATTCAGCATTTTATGTGCCCACTTGATGGACAAAAATATAGCTTACACTCTTGATAGTCTTGCAGAACCACAGTTAAGTGGAACGAGCTTGATTACATACCGTTTTGTGCATTGCCAGCAGCAGTGTTCATTCCGCTCCTTTCCAGTGGCATGGTCAGTCCTGCACTGCGGCACGAGGTCAGGACTTTGGCACCTTGGGATTCCCGGCTGTGCCACGGAGCAGCCACAAGAGTCTCGGAAGGGGAATCTGTATAAGGGGTGATAATGCTAATGTAAAAAAGGATTAGTCTGGATGATAAAAACATTTACTCTCTGGCTGTTAAAAAAACAACAGCAAAAAGAACAACAACAAAAAAAAACCCCAAGCCTTTTTTTTTTTTTTTTTTCTGGTTTCAAGTCCAGTAATTATTTTGCATTTGCAAAATCAAACTGAGGTTTTTTGCGATAGATAGGTAACCCAGTCTGCTTTTTTCTTCAGTAAAATTGAGTTTGATTGGATTTTAAGAACATTAATTTTATGAATAGTGTTCTTTTGTTTTTAATAGTCGTTTTTGTAATCAGCCATAAGAATTGTGGGGCAGGGGGGAAGTCATTTGACAGCATGTTCTGCAGAGTGCCATTTCTCTGTGTTTCAGTTCAGAGCAGAATTTGCATGTGCTTTTTGTATTCTGGTTGCTGTCTAGAAGAGAAGACAGATCAACCCCTGTTGTGTCCTGGGTTTAGAGAGGCAGGGACAGTTGCCTCCTATCTGCTGCAGAGGAGCTATTGCTTTGTCAGAAAGCTTTCTTAGGCTTCAGAAGTCAAAGTCTACTTAACTTGCATATGAAACTGTTTCAAAACTTTGTGAAGTGACCTCTGATACTCCTTTTTCATGCCAGCATTTTTCTCATACAGCTTCACCAGTTCTCATGTTGTAGACTAAGCCTTCAAAGCACTTACAGTAACAATAAAAATATACATAAACATCGTAAGAGTATTGTTTTGTCCTCAGAGAGGTGGTGAGGAGATCATTTACATCAGCAGTGCTTACATAACTGTAAACTCAAAAGAGACAATGAAGTTCCCAGAAGGTAAAAAGCGTTATTATGCTGTTGTAGTTTTACTGAACCGAACAGTTGCCTGAAGAAAGAATTTTCATTTACTCAGCAGAAGATAAAGAGTATAATCCATCCAGGTTTTCAAGTGAATTATCTTGTTGTAAATATTGATATAAGCATGGAGTGAGTGGTAGTTATGAATGATCTCCAAGCCAAAAATGTGTATCTGACTTTTTCTCCTGTTTGCATTATGTCTACACAGAGTACAGTAATGTAGTTAATTCTGTAAGCTGCACTACTACAAACCTTACAAAGCTTTGTTTAATATCTCAGCCACTCCAGAACAAATCACACAGTGAATGTTTAATGGATGCTGTTAGATTAGTGTAACAAAAACATTTAGTTTGGTATTTGGATATATCTAAGTTTTCCCCCACCCCATTTCAAAAAGGTTAAATATGTTGTTCTAATCTGTTTTCAACTTTTAGCCTTGCCCTCTTTGATCAGCATTGATTCAACTTTCCTATATAATCACAGAGAGACTTTAAGGTACATTTCCAAAGTTGTGCAGACAGTGGCAAAAATGGGAAGAATAACAATGATTTGGACTTGATATTCATATACGGACAGTATTTAACACCTCAGTTTTCACAAGACGTGGTCCTCAACTTTTTAGATCTTTAACTCGGGCTGACGTTTCTTAAGTTACTAAGATTTAAGGAGAAACACTGGAGCTCCTTGCACCAGGTTCTGTTAATTAGTTATATTATTATGATTAGCCTGTATGGGCAAACAGCTGCTGTCTGTATGGCCATAATGCATACACAGCGTTTAGGCATGACTGTCAGGCAGATCCGTGCAGCTGGCAGCAGTATGTGCTGATTCAAGAAAATAAAGGTAATTGTTACTTATGGAATCCTTTTCAGTCCTGCAGCCTGGACAGCTTAGAGGCACAGATTGCTCGTCTG